GAGATCTATTTGCGTTTGCCCATGTATACTCAACAGAATTTGGGTGCAGGTATCGCCATACATCAATAACAGAGAGTTCATCGGAAAAAAAAGTTGAACACTTAAATTTAGCAGGTTGATTGGGTCTTGGTGGATAACGGTCTACATTGTCATCAGGAGAGGCATTCAGATCCCCACCGATTAATAAAAAAGCACCTCTATGAGTTTCTAGTAGGTCTTTAATTTTTGAGCAAATGAGAATCGAAGTATTTCTTGCCAATGTGGGAGTGTTGTGGTTATAAATGTTGCATACAATAAAAGTTGCGTTATTCATTTTGAGAGTTAAAATAATCCATCTTCCATCTTCAGACAGACTGGAGTCTTTAATATCTGCTTGGACCTTGTTAAAGAGTATGGCGACCCCTGCTGACTGATTGGAAGCATGACTAAAATAACACTGATCGCCCCACTGCGATTTCCAGAATTTTATATCATTTTCTGTGGAATGGGTTTCTTGAAGAAAAAAAAGGTCTGCATTATTTTGTCTACATAACATAAACATTGCTTTTCTTTTGGTAACATCCCTTAAGCCCCTTACATTCAATGATACAATTTTCAAAGAGTTAAATAAAGTTGTCATTTATCAAATCTAGAAGAAGAAATAAAACGAAACAAAAAAGTGGAGGAGGTAAGTTTTGAGTTAACTTACCAAAATTTGCCTAGTAATTCACAGTCGTCTGCCGGCGCGTTGAACACGTCACTTCAGACTAGCTTTCTGATTGGCTGAAATCGGTCCCTGTGGCAGAACCTACCTACGAATAAAATACTCGCGGCCGGCCTGGTCGTATCACAGCCGACCCCTCTCACCTGCACATGGACTGTTCCATCCACTCCCCTCTCACCTGCACATGGACTATTCCAACCACTCCCCTCTCACCTGCACATGGACTATTCCATCCACTCCCCTCTCACCTGCACATGGACTATTCCAACCACTCCCCTCTCACCTGCACATGGACTATTCCAACCACTCCCCTCTCACCCTGCACATGGACTATTCCAACCACTCCCCTCTCACCTGCACATGGACTATTCCATCCACTCCCCTCTCACCTGCACATGGACTATTCCAACCACTCCCCTCTCACCTGCACATGGACTGTTCCAACCACTCCCCTCTCACCTGCACATGGACTATTCCAACCACTCCCCTCAGGCAGGAGGCTGCGGTCCATCAGGACTAGAACCTCCCGCCACAAGAACAGTTTCTTCCCCTCTGCTGTTGGACTCTTGAACACTTCTTAACCTGTCCCCCCGCCCTTTATAAAGTCACTTTACTGCCCATCATACGTCACTTTACTTCACTGTACTGCTGTCACCTTACATTGTGTGCACCATGTGCACTTGGATATTGTAAATGTAACTGTAACTCTATTTTAAATTTAAATTTATTCTTTAGAAGTGTTTTTTATTCTTATTTTTATTATCTCTTTTTGACTGTTGCACTGAGCCAAAGCAATTTCCAAGTCTGTGACCTCCTGTTACTTACGTGGCAATAAAAATGATTCTGATTCTGATTCTGAGTTCAGAAAGTGTGGAAACATTTTTTATTGTGTCCATATTATTATATTCCAGGTTTCCACTCTCTCCACAGTATTTGTAGTTTTAACACAAAATAATCAACACTATTGCTTCCTGCAGTTGTCCAGATTCACGCTGTTGTTTAGCAGTGAATACATCTAAAGATTCATAACAATAATAATACAGTTTTATGACAAAGCTGAACCAAACCTAAACCTTCCTGACAAAGTAGCTGCAGTTCCTACATGATGTGTGAACCCCCAAATGGGACCGGAACTAACGACGTACCAGAAAGTTAAAGTTCCAATGCCTACAAGACCAGGGGGATAATGGGGATCAGGTCTTTGCAAACTGGTCTGTGGTCATCAGGAATCTCTCCCTGGGTTAAATATATATTAACACATAAGCACGTGGCTGAGTGGTTAGGAACAGGGCCTTTTCTAAGTGGAGTTTACATGTTCTTCCCGTGTCTGTGTAGGTTTCCTCCAGGTGCTCCGGTTTCCCCAACCATGCCCTAAAAACATGTACAATAGTTCAGGGTGTGAGAGTGCGACTGTTACCCTGGTCTTATCCATCCGTACTCTCAGGTCCATCATCATGTCCTGCAGGTAACCTCTGGGTCTGGTCCCTGTGTTTGGGATTACAATCAGCTGAATTTTGACCGACCAATCAGAGAGCACGGGAGGCGTATGTTTAGCAAATGTAATCGCTGGAAAGATTGTGGCGCTACTCCCCACGGGCTCCGTTAGCAGCAAAGGAGATGGCTAAAGCTAGGCTAAATGCTAAATGCTAACGACTCACTCGGGTTCATTACATACGTCACTGTAAACTCAGATCCAATGGTTTCAATCTGTAAAAGGAGTTAACCCCGCTTGTACTATGGTGTGGTACGACCACAGACTGTATATATTAACAGACGTAGTCAGGCCTATCTCTCCGCCGTTCTAACTAATGGACCAAACATTGGCCTCTCATGGAGTGATTCAAAATGGCCGCGGGGGCTGGAAAATGTGAGAAAACACATCTGCGCATGCGTCAGCTGCACAAGCTCCATTCATTTAAACGAGAGACTTCTAAAGTCCACAGCGACTAAACTAGACTGGTCCAGAACACTCAGCATTGACACACATGTGGAACGGAGCTTTGGGCCAAGAGACAACTTTGGACCATTCTGTAAAGACGTTTTCCAGAGGTAAGAAGATGCTATATGTTAGCATTGGCTAATTCTTATTCCGGGTCCACCCCCACAGGCCCGGGGTGGTACTGCAGCATGTCAGGGTCCACCCCCACAGGCCCGGGGTGGTACTGCAGCATGTCAGCGCACCTCATTTTGGACACTTTTGAGCCAGGACCTGCCCCCACTGGTCACGACCAGGCTATGCGACTGTGGGATGATGGCTATCCAGTCCAGAGTGATGTGTACTGTCCCAGCCTAATAAACAATAAACTGTTCTGTAATAAACAAACAAATAGACTGTATTGAAATAAGTGGCTCTCCTCCAGGATCATGTGGTAATGTTTATTGTTAAAATGCTACACATAGCACCTTGGACATGTCACACCATGAGTCCCCTGCTGCAGAAAACCCGAGTGAATACAAAAACTGAGACAGGGATGGAGTGGTTAGTCTTAAACATGTGAGAAAATAAATCATTTGAAACAAGCCTCTTTACACAGTCCTGTTAGTTCAACAAACTGTGGCTACAAAAGGTCAAACGTAGATTATTTTACACGTCTCTGTAAATATGGCACCATTTCCACGCTGTCCACGCCCAGTGTTTGTGACTATGTACTATTTACAGGTTAAAAAAAGAAGAAAACTCAACAAAAGAGCTCCAGTGTTTCAAAATAGTGCTGGGAACAAGTGACTCCTTTGAGAACTATGTACAAACCTTGTCAAAGCTGAATTACAAATCCTTCACATTGTTAATAAGTCACATTAATTATATTAAATATAGCAAGTTTTTTCTCAATAATGAAAAGAAAAGTCCATTTGATTAATACATAACCACTTGTCACACATAAAACAGAACTATATTCATACCAATGACATTTAAGTGGGAATCTCTATCAGCTTCTTTCTTTATGAATAATCCTGTTTCATTTTAAAGAAACATTCAGAACTGCGTCCATCCAGAGATCTCTCCTCAACTCTCACTTTTGGTATTTTACTGTGAACGTACTGCTTTTGGAAATGCTTTACCAAATCCACTTTAGGCCAGACTTTGTAGAAGTCTGACAGAAACACGTTAGATTTAAACCTAATTTTCACACCACATACAATGGAACTGAGTCATATAATCCATGTCACTGAGAAATTGTCGTCAAAAAAGGTTTTATCACAAATGTTCACGTCTATCCGTTTCTTTTGATCGTTCTCTCTCGGATAAAAAGCCCAAAGCGTGACCCAAGAGTCCGTGACGGTGAGCGGGTGGTGGTTCCAGCTTCAGAGTCCAGAGTCCAGAGTCCAGAGTCCAGAGTCCAGAGTCCAGACTGCAGAAGCCACGCAGCATTTAGCTTCACAGTCAACGCTAATTCACCAAGTCACTAAATCTCTCATGATTACCTCTCAGTGTTTTGTTCTTAACCCCATTTGAAGTTTTGGTTTTTCTGGAGATTTTGTGTCTAGACTTGATTGTTTTGAATGAACTACGTCTTATGTCACGATTCTGAGTCTCTCGAAAGAGGAAGTACAACAACTGCTTTTCATTTCTGAACTATAAACATCAAGCTTTAAACCATCAAGACAAGCTGCAGGACATCAATAAATATGGAAAAACTAAATCATAAAAAAGAAAAACAGGTCGAGACAGTTTCGAGTCAGATCGTCCAAATAGCAACAATAAAAACTGAAGTGGAGAAAGAAACACAGAGAAGTGGTTGTGCTCATGGATCCAGCTGCGGCTTCAGGAGTCGAGGGTTTCCTGAAGCTACGACGAGCTTCGAGTGGTGCATGAAATAAAGTGCAGGATACTTCTAGCCATAAAACTTTCTTCAGACATAAATGACATAATCTCACTGTTGACAAGGAACTAATAAATGCCAGGAGGTTACATTCTTGTTGGAGAGACGTGTCTGGGTGATGGCGATGTGCTTTTACACTCAATATATTTATAATAATATTGTAATTTAGTTTTGTGATATTTTTCAATCTGATTCTATATCCTGATGGTTCCAAATGGTTCACATCCCAAACACTGCACGACCTAATGTTGTATCTGATGATCAAACATGTGGAAGATAGATCCCTCCTCAGACTCCAAATAAATGCAAATAAGTAATGACTGCATCATTGTAAACAAATAACCCGATAATAATTCATTATTATCGACATTACGATAATATAAATGAGACACATGAAGAACCCTGTCTTAATCACAAAGAGACAGAGACAGAACAGTTGGTGGTGAATAAGGCTGGTGCAGTCGGGCCTCACAGTGTCAGAGGTAGAAGCCGGGGGCCGGGGGGTCCGGGAGGCTGGACCGAGGGTCTGGGCCTGGCAGCTGAACACCAGGGGGCACTACTGAGTTACCGTTAGGCAGAGCACAGCCTGCTGGGAAAGTACTGTCCAGGATACAGCCGTTCTCCATCTGCACAAAGCACACAGACATACGTTATCAAACAGCACTAAATACATTTATATATTTACTCAAATATTGTTGAGCAGTTTTTAACATCCGTGAAATTCATCTTTATGGAGCTTTTGTTTAGTGATTTCCAACACAGATAATCTGGAGACCTATAAGCATTAATACTTTAATAACTACACTGTCACAAAAGGTCAAGATGTCTCAAAATCAACTTTGCTTTCATGTTTTACATTTTTTTGGATGCGACGTTTTTCTCCTTTTGTTATTCATTAATTTATGTTTATTTTGAGCAAATAAGTATACAAAAAAAGTAGAATATCAAAATTGTGCATAAATAACCCTTAGCTACATATACATAATACCAAATTATAAATATTATTTCCACAAAAACACAAAAAAAGTATTATGTTTCTTTTATGAATTCAATGTTAACTGGGATCAATGAGTATTTATCTAATCTTACAGGGGAAAAATAAGAAGTACTAATCGATAAATACTTTACATACATTATTGTCATTTATATATTCATGAGTATTTCATGCGAGTGTCATCCTTATCGTGCAGTAGCAGTAAGTGAATAAGTAAGCCATGTTTATTTATACATCACCTTTCACAGAGCAGTCTCACGAGTCACCAGCAGAGGGCCTCACCTTACTGTGGTTGGCCTCGTGTGGGAGGTCCGCCCCCGTCACCAGGCCATAGTGCTCCAGCTGCCTGCAGGGCTTAGACACGCCCAGGATCTGCTCCAGAGAAGTGTTGGGGGGAGGGCACTGGGAGAGGCTGGAGATGACCTGAGCTAACGGCACTGGGATGGCCTCCTGCGGCAGCTTCTGGTTCATTTCCTGAAACGACGACACCATAGACTGCTGCCCGTGTGGCTGGCTTCCAAAGACACTGCCTCCGCTCAGAGAGTAGTCCCGGTTGTCCACGTTGGGCACGCTAAAATCCATGTCTGCCGAGGTGTTTACAGTGTTTTTTTGGCTGTTGTCAAGGCAGGTGTTATTTGCCAGACCCCCACTGAAGCTATAGTCCTGCCACAAGCATTTAGCATCATTCGGGGTGGGGACTAGACACAGGCCGTTGAGGTTTCCTGCTTTCTGTTTCCCATGGCACGGGTGTGGTAGCTGGTTGTGCATCCTTGCTGGTGCCTGAACAAACGGATGTGTGTTTTGAATCTCTTCATTGACGTGGGATGTGTTGCTATTAAAAATGGATTTGTAGGGATTCATTTGAACTCCTGCATTGAGTAAAGGATCCTGCGACGACCAGTGTCCATTTGTGATTGTGTGATTGGACTCTTGCAGTTCACCATTGACCACCAAATTGGATAAATTGTCACCGTGCTGCCCCCAATCCAGGCCGGCTTTCCCTGACCGCACTGTCAGGTGTTGCTGCATCTGTTGTGAAAGCTGGATAATAGGCCCCTGACCAACTGCATTTGGTCTGTGGAAATGTATTTGCAAATTATTGTCCGTAACGTGGTTAGCTTGAGCGGTAGGAGGATTATTGGGAGGCTCTGTTGACTCACTCTTTCCCTCTATCGTGTTGTAAATGTACGACAGGATCTCGTCATTTGTGAGCAAGTCGTCCAAGGTGGGTATATGCTCTGGGTCCATCTCCACTCGGATCATGCGCTCATCCAGCAAAAGAAGCTCCAAGTCCTCCGCGCTAAGACCCAAACCTTCCAGAGCTCCGAAGAGTTCGCCGTTGGAACAAACTGCCTCTCCAGGATCGACCACGCCTTGTCCCTCCAGCACCAGGGAGTCCAGAGTAGCCAGGAGTGGGTCAAGGCTGTTGCTAGTCTCAGAGACACTTGGCACTTCCTCTATGCCCGGTTCTTCCCAGCTGGTGTGCGGTTTGGTTTCAGGAAAGGTTCTCTGATCTCCAAACATGCTCTGGAAGGATAACTTGGGTTTGATGGCCGGCTGACTCACGTACACAGACTGGTCCTGGCTCATGAGGGCTCCTAAGAGGGATCCAGGGTCCAGGCCGTCTTTAACCATTCTCTCAGACCGGCTTTTCTTAGACTTGCTGCCATTTTTCTCGATAGGTTCATCCAAAAACCCAATGGGATGGTTCGACTGGTAAAGAAGAGCTTCGCCTGTTGCGTAGGTGAAGGGGAGATGCATAGAACGCTTCCGCAAGTGTTCGCCGCCTTCTTCGTCCCTATAGAAGACAAAGGACAGAAAACATGACAAATGAAGTCGATAATATCATCTATATCAGGAGTTATATACTGTACATATAGGACAGGAGTTATATACTGTACATATAGGACAGGATTTATATACTGTACATATAGGACAGGAGTTATATACTGTACATATAGGACAGGAGTTATATACTGTACATATAGGACAGGAGTTATATACTGTACATATAGAACAGGAGTTATATACTGTACATATAGGACAGGAGTTATATACTGTACATATAGGACAGGAGTTATATACTGTACATATAGGACAGGAGTTATATACTGTACATATAGGACAGGAGTTATATACTGTACATATAGGACAGGAGTTATATACTGTACATATAGGACAGGAGTTATATACTGTACATATAGGACAGGAGTTATATACTGTACATATAGGACAGGAGTTATATACTGTACATATAGGACAGGAGTTATATACTGTACATATAGAACAGGAGTTATATACTGTACATATAGGACAGGAGTTATATACTGTACATATAGAACAGGAGTTATATACTGTACATATAGGACAGGAGTTATATACTGTACATATAGAACAGGAGTTATATACTGTACATATAGGACAGGAGTTATATACTGTACATATAGGACAGGAGTTATATACTGTACATATAGGACAGGAGTTATATACTGTATAAAAAGGACAGTATTGCACATTGCACATGATTTTAGTTGTTACTTATTTACAGATGAATGACATTTACAGACTCAGCAGTTCTCGTTGTACAGTCTGACAGCAGCAGGAAGGATAGACCTGATATATATACAGAAAGCAGATACTTACAGCAGTGGTCTCTGCGTGGCGATGATGTAGTCTGGTTTGCTGTTCTTGTAGACCAGTCTGGCGTTGGCCTGGACCCACTTCCAGCGGTTCTCCTTAGTCAGAAGTCTGAACACGGTCAGACCACTCTCCCCAGTCTTTATCACTGCAAACAGAGAGGACATCAATCCATACATACAGTACATACATACATATACATACATACACACATACATACATACATACAGTACATACATACACATACATACATACACACATATACATACATACACATACATACATACACACATATACATACATACACATACATACATACACACATATACATACATACATATACACATACACACATACATACACACATACATACATACACACACATACATACATACACACACATACATACACACATATACATACATACACACATATACATACATACACATACATACATACACACATATACATACATACATACATACACACATACACATACACACATACATACACACATACATACATACACATACATACATACATACATACACACACATACATACATACACACACATACATACATACACATACTTACAAACATACACATACATACACACATACATACACACATACATACACATACATACACATACATACATACACATACATACATATACACACATACATACATACACACACATACATACACATACATACACATACACATACATACACATACACACACATACATTACACATTTACACACATACATACATACATACACACATACATACACACACACAAATACACACACACACACATACATTTATTTTCTTCCTGTGTGTGTGTGTGTGTGTAGATCTGGACCTGGAGTCTGAACGTGGGGGTGGGGGTCTCATGGTTTCTGGAGGATAAGTCTCATTATAAAGAGTGTTGTTTATGGATCATCTGTGATTCTTTCTTCATGTGTTGGATTTATTAGAAAGATCTTCCTCCACGGCAGCTCTGCAGCTTTGGCCAATCTGCTTCGTAATCCAGAGGGATTAGGAAGATGAACTCTCTGACCGACGATCCTAAACTTACAACCTTTCACACTAGTGTTGTCATAGAGTAAACAATTATAGAACACATGCTCTAAAGATTCTTTACATCAAGCGACACCTAATAGAAAATAATAAGAGTTAAAATCCAGGTGAAAGACGGAGCTACAACTGAAGAATTTTATCTCTATTTTGAATGCACTGCGGTTATTTATTCATGTTTAATTTGAGTGTTTTAATGGTTTAATTACCTGTGATTTTAATTGTGTTTTTAACGGTGATTCTGTGTTTGTTTTATGTGATGATTTGTGCCTTGTGTGGTGTGGACTGTGAGGCGTGTTGTGTTGCTCTGTGCATGAAAGGGCTCTACAAATAAAGATTAATTGATTAATCTCCATGGCGATAAACACATTTACATGAAAAACACCAGATGTAGAAACACAAGTCAGGTTTGTGGACATGTTACTGTGCTCTAAGTGGAGTTTGCATGTTCTCCCTGTGTTGGTATAGGTTTCCTCCAGGTGCTCCGGTTTCCCCTACAACTATAAACAAGCACAATAGCTCTGGCATGCGCCTCCTGCACTGGTGAAAGGCGCTAAATAAACACAGATTACTTACTTACAAAATGTGAAGTAAATGTGTCGTATTTTCAGTGTCATAAAAACGTGATAATACCGGTGATAAAACCTATCCTGTGTCTGTATAGGTTTCCTCCAGGTGCTCCGGTTTTCCCTACCAGTATATTTTGTACTGGTGAGAGACGCTTTAAATAGTAAATACAGATGACTTACTTACTTACTGCGTCGTATTTCAAGTGTAATAAAAACATGATAATGCCGGTGATAAAAAAGTCGCTCACTTCTGACGTGGTTCTCGGCGCAGTGCAACATGTCCGCGGCGTGGATGAACTGGTACCCGGACCCTCGGACCCTCAGCTCGGCCTCGGTGTATCCCAGCACGATCTTACCCCTGGACCACACGTTACAGTAAGACACAGTTAGACACAGACACACAGAGCCCCACAGCCGTCTACACAGCCGTCTACACAGCCGTCTCCACAGCCGTCATCATGAGGCTTACTTAGCGTCACAGGCCATGGGGGTGAAGTCCAGCTTGTGTTTGGTTCTGAAGATCATGTTCTTGGTTCGGATCTCCAGGATGGACGGGGGCTGCAGCGGGGTCGCGATCGCAAACAGAGCCAGCTGCATCGGGGGGTTCGCGCCGTTATCTTCTTTGTGATTTTGTCCTTGAAGAAACTTAAGTCTTCCCTGTAGGTTGAGAGCCTGGGGACAATACACAAGAAAGTCAAGTTTATCTATATGGCACTTTTCACAGACCACAAAGTACTTAAAATACAATCAAAAAAACAAATTCATAGACTTTATTGATCTCTGATGGAGAAATGTACGTGTCACATTTGGCTTAGATAGAATCACTCAGATGTGCAAAAAGACAGAAGTAATAAGTAAGGTTTATTTATATAGCGCATTTTACAGACCAAGGTACAAACCCAAAGCACTTTACAATGTTTTAGAGTTCAGATATTATTCCATTCTCCTCCATGACAGAAGCGAGACACCGAACACACTGGTCCATCAAAGCCTCCGACCAAACACCATTCATTCAATCATTACATTCATTACATTCAGACGTATTGTGCAGGTTTTTAGTGGTAGGGGAAAAACACAGGGAGAACATGCAAACTCCACTCAGAAAGACCCTGTTCCGACCGGGATTGGGACCCAGGACCTACTTTCTAAGAAGAAACATGTTAAAGGTTCAAAACATAGTCGGTGCAGGATATAATTATGTACAAGTGACAATAGCAGCAGGTTTTTTTTGTCTCAGTGGATTCTTTTCTAATAAATCCGAGCTCTACTAATTTGACTTTCTGTGGCTGGGGATATTAAATAAAAGCCGGTGCTAATGTGTCCTCAGTCTGCAAGTTTATTTGGATAGTGCTGTTTATACTTCGTGGATATTCATTTGTATGTAATTAATTTTAATGTAGGTTTAATGTAAAGAAGAGGAGACACATTTACACATTTTGCAGTTGTGGTTAATTTGTGTATTCTGGACACATTTTTACATTTATTGAATATTGGTTTGAAAGTATTTTTGTAAGATTATCCTCAATGAAGAAAGAGTGCAGTTATTTTTGGCTTGAAACAGAACTGGACAAAAGGTAAATATGTCTGGGCCCTAAAGACTGATTTACAAATTAGTAAAGTTAAATTATACTGTTGTTTTCCCGAGAAATTGAGCTTTAGAATAAGGTTTAACATGCCATGATATAAACTTGGTTCACCCTGATATATTGGCAGATCAATATGTTTAATGAATAATCAATAACAAACCAGAAATCCAGAGGAGTTGTCGAGGAGGCATCGGAAGCGGCAAACGAAGCTCCTCTCTAAGAAGGATGAGTTCTCTGGAGGAAGTTGGTCGGGATTGTAGGTGACTAAAGACAAGCTGCTTTCAGAATCCATCTCTGCAAACACAAGAATACAAACTGTTATATTTAGAGCAGTTTTATACTTCAGCCGTTATCGATAGAGTCCTCGGTGCAAACAAAATGGCATCATACATTGACATTCTAAACTTTATAAATAATCATATTCTTTGATAATAACTCATTCACTATTTGTACTTATTGTGTCTGTATTTTTCTCCCAAATACCACTTAAATGACTCAGGTCTAAAACAGGACTTTAACCCTTTAAGCACCAGAGGTTGTTTCATCAAAGGCTGAATTTTGACATTTTAATTTCTTAATAACCTGAGAACTGAGAAAAGTGAGAACTTGTATCGTTTTTGTTGATCGGTGCCACAGTGTCAGCTGTTTTTTTTTTTTTTATTCTTTTATTTTCAGTGTATGTGTATGTTATATTACATTGTATCGTGCTCCTTTTTTGCAAATGTATTCCAATGTAGTTTTTATACTGCACATGGCTAATAAAATGAATCTGAATCTGAAGAGTCTTTATGTAAAATAGAGAAATAATAGGAATGGCCCAAAGTTTATGTATGAATTAAATGTACCCATCTCATTTGCATATTATGACGTCATATGGGCGTGCCAATCATGGATTTTCAGGATTTTATATTTGTATCTGTCTTTTGTGGTTTTGTACTGTGTGTGTGTTTGTACTGTGATTATTCATAATTTTAATGATATCTTGTTTTGTTCAGCAATTTGAATTGTGTATGAATTGTGCTATACAAATAAGCTTAACTTGCCTTGCCAGCCTAAGTAAGTTATTGCTATAATAAATAACCCAATCTGTTGTGTATTGATGAAACTATGCATCATGCACATCATTTCATGGCCTGAACAACACAAACAGAGCTTCAGTGTCTGGATTGTGCTCAGTGAACCGGCAAATACAACTATTTAACCTAGTTCTGGTTTTGCTCTGAGCACAAAACCCCTTTGGGGCAAATGAGATTGTAATTTTGCATAAACAAAGCTGACTTGAACTCTGGGTGTCCCTTTGACCTGAGGATGTTCATAGCATCAGCTGTGCCACTTTGCAGAAACTATCTCTGACATAATCCTCCAAAACCCAGAGCGATACAGAGGACTGAAGCAGAAGTAAATATAACCAACTACCTAAACTCATAGAACCATGTCTAAACTTAACCAGCCATTCCCATCCTTATTATCCCGTCCTATACGTACAGTATATAACTGTACCCCGACCCACCTTAACCCTAACCTTAACCATCTTACTCAGACCACCTTAACCCTAACCTTAACCATCTTACTCAGACCACCTTAACCCTAACCTTAACCATCTTACTCAGACCACCTTAACCCTAACCTTAACCATCTCACTCAGACCACCTTAACCCTAACCTTAACCATCTTACTCAGACCACCTTAACCCTAACCTTAACCATCTTACTCAGACCACCTTAACCCTCACCTTAACCATCTTACTCAGACCACCTTAACCCTAACCTTAACCATCTTACTCAGACCACCTTAACCCTAACCTTAACCATCTTACTCAGACCCACCTTAACCCTAACCTTAACCATCTTACTCAGACCACCTTAACCCTAACCTTAACCATCTTACTCAGACCACCTTAACCCTAACCTTAACCATCTTACTAAGACCACCTTAACCCTAACCTTAACCATCTTACTCAGACCACCTTAACCCTAACCTTAACCATCTTACTAAGACCACCTTAACCCTAACCTTAACCATCTTACTCAGACCACCTTAACCCTAACCTTAACCATCTTACTCAGACCACCTTAACCCTAACCTTAACCATCTTACTCAGACCACCTTAACCCTAACCTTAACCATCTTACTCAGACCACCTTAACCCTCACCTTAACCATCTTACTCAGACCACCTTAACCCTAACCTTAACCATCTTACTCAGACCACCTTAACCCTAACCTTAACCATCTTACTCAGACCACCTTAACCCTAACCTTAACCATCTTACTCAGACCACCTTAACCCTAACCATAACCAATCTTACTCAGACCCACCTTAACCCTAACCTTAACCATCTTACTCAGACCACCTTAACCCTAACCTTAACCATCTTACTCAGACCACCTTAACCCTAACCTTAACCATCTTACTCAGACCACCTTAACCCTAACCTTAACCATCTTACTCAGACCACCTTAACCCTAACCTTAACCATCTTACTCAGACCCACCTTAACCCTAACCTTAACCATCTTACTCAGACCACCTTAACCCTAACCTTAACCATCTTACTCAGACCACCTTAACCTTAACCTTAACCATCTTACTCAGACCACCTTAACCCTAACCTTAACCATCTTACTCAGACCACCTTAACCCTAACCTTAACCATCTTACTCAGACCACCTTAACCCTAACCTTAACCATCTTACTCAGACCACCTTAACCCTAACCTTAACCATCTTACTCAGACCACCTTAACCCTAACCTTAACCATCTTACTCAGACCACCTTAACCCTCACCTTAACCATCTTACTCAGACCACCTTAACCTTAACCATCTTACTCAGACCACCTTAACCCTAACCTTAACCATCTTACTCAGACCACCTTAACCCTAACCTTAACCATCTTACTCAGACCACCTTAACCCTAACCTTAACCATCTTACTCAGACCACCTTAACCCTAACCTTAACCATCTTACTCAGACCACCTTAACCCTAACCTTAACTATCTTACTCAGGCCACCTTAACCCTTACCTTAACCATCTTACTCAGACCACCTTAACCCTAACCTTAACCATCTTAATCAGACCACCTTAACCCTCACCTTAACCATCTTACTCAGACCGCCTTAACCCTAACCTTAACCATCTTACTCAGACCACCTTAACCCTAACCTTAACCATCTTACTCAGACCACCTTAACCCTAACCTTAACTATCTTACTCAGGCCACCTTAACCCTTACCTTAACCATCTTACTCAGACCACCTTAACCCTAACCTTAACCATCTTACTCAGACCACCTTAACCCTAACCTTAACCATCTTACTCAGACCCACCTTAACCCTAACCTTAACCATCTTACTCAGACCACCTTAACCCTAACCTTAACCATCTTACTCAGACCACCTTAACCCTAACCTTAACCATCTTACTCAGACCACCTTAACCCTAACCTTAACCATCTTACTCAGACCACCTTAACCCTAACCTTAACCATCTTACTCAGACCACCTTAACCCTAGCCTTAACCATCTCACTCAGACCACCTTAACCCTAGCCTTAACCATCTCACTCAGACCACCTTAACCTAGCCTTAACCATCTTACTCAGACCCAGCTCGGCCCAGCTAGCTGTGTTAGCTAGGCCGCTGAGACTAAAGCGTACGGACATAAGCATCTTAAAAGTCAAACACAGATCAGGGACCACTTCACCTCATAAGCCACGCTACAGATTAAGGGTCACATGACACGCCCTGACTCTCCTAAGCCTCAGCAGTTACTGGGATCACATTCACTCCCAGAGGATTGGAGAAGAATCACAACATATCATTATATCTATACATGTGTTGTATGTAGAATTTGAATGTATATGTATGTAGTATTTGGATATATGTAGTAATTTGATATAAGTAGTATTTGGATACAGTATGTTGTATGTCCCCGATTAAGACTGTTCCAACAACCGTACACCGCACAGGAGGAGAGCCTCTGACTCCAGAACAGACTTTACATGGTTTTCAATGGGAGCAACACTGTCCCACCTCTGCTCATGCGCCCCCTACTGGCCAGGTTCATGAAACACAAGAATACTAAGAAGACAAGATCCATCCATCCATCCATTTTCTTCCGCTTCATCCGTTGCCGGGTTGCGGGGGCAGCAGTCTAAGCAGAGACGCCCAGACTTCCCTATCCACGCACACCTCCTCCAGCTCGTCCGGGGGGACCCCTAGGCGTTCCCAGGCCAGCTGAGAGACATAGTCCCTCCAGCGTGTCCTAGGTCTTCCGCGGGGCCTCCTCCCGGTAGGACGTGCCCGGAACACCTCCCCAGGGAGGCCTCCAGGAGGCATCCGGAATAGATGCCCGAGCCACCTCAACTGGTTCCTCTCGACGTGGAGAAGCAGCGGCTCTACTCCGAGCTCCTCCCGTGTGACTGAGCTCCTCACCCTATCTCTAAGGGAGCAGCCACTCTGCGGAGGAAGCTCATTTCGACCGCTTGTATCCGCGATCTCGTTCTTTCGGTCATTACGAAGACAAGATCAATCTTCTTAAACTAGCTTTAGATCATTTTTATTCAGACATGAAAGTGGAGAGAGAACCAACATGTCACTTTGTCATATACTGACCAAAAAGACACTTTACTTATCCCAGTCTGCAAAAGTAACACGTTTTCATCAAAGAAAACTCAACATTTTACTTTTAAACGTATCTTTCAATGAGGGTAAAGAAGCAAAATGGATTATTATACAACTCTGGTTAAATAAATGATGAAAGTATTAGATAAAAGAGTATTGCACTGACCGTTGGGAGGGCTGCTGCTCGATGAAGAGGAGGCTGACGAAGGGTTCAAAGCCCAGTGCAGGTTCCTACGCAGCTCCTGCTGGTCTTCAGTGTGGACTAACTCGTACACGCTCTGGTGCATCACATCCGTCTGAGCAACAAAACACATTTATTATAAATTTCATTTATTTATTAAAACATGTTCAAAGCTAAGTCCCCACAGGTAAATGAACCGTCTCCACACACTCTGCATTTCACTTCATTTCTGAGCATTGGGTGCAGCATTGCCACCCCCCGACCCAGAAATGGACTAATAAAGGGGTAGAAAATGAATGAAGAATTTTAATAAAAATAATAATAATAATATATTTTATTTTAAAAAAGTTATTTCAAAACACCCTCTGCGCTTTGAAATGCGGCTTTAACCATTTAATGAAACAAACACTGAGTTTAAAAAGCTGCAGAATTCAAAGATGGTTTCACTTCTTCTGAATCGTCAAATATTTTGCAAGAGAAAGAAAAAAATTCCCTAATATTGTACTACAAAACTCCCAAACTAAAAGTAGATATTGAAGCCACAATTAAATATTATTAATTATTCATTGGATTGGATTCATTCGTGACTCGGTAATTTAGATTATCAAATATATAAAATGATTTACAAAGCACTGATACATATTAAAACGCGTATAACAGGTGTTTAGGATTAAAATGTATTTATTTATATTTTTGTGGGATGACACTAAATGAAAATATAAACTATAGGTGTAAAGTAATGCATTCAATGTATCTGAACAGAGAACCAATGACATCACTGATGACATCACTGACGCTGAATAAATAATAAACATATTCTCATGATCAAACTGGTCAGACCTGTGGCTACAGGAATAATCCGTGTTTGTAGTGAATGAATATTGATGTGAAGCGTCTTTGAGTGTCCAAAAAAGCACTGTATAAAACCAATGCATTATTATTATTATTATTATTATTATTATTATTATTATTATTATTATTATTATTATTATTATGTTGGCACAGTTGATCACATGTCATCCATAATCAGTCACACTCACTCTGAAGGACGATTACAGAAAGATAAATGGTAGAATGTAAAAACACGGTGAGCGATCTTCCTTCACCTTCAGAGACATGTTTGACCGTAGCAGTGAAGCATCATGGGTATTCACCAAAGGACAGACTATAAATAGCTTTAGCTGCAGTGCTGTGGCCGGAGCCTGAGCCTCATGCAGGGAGCAGAGGAAAACACACACAACCTCTCCACAATCACCTGTAACCGCCCAGAAACAACAGCAGCTTTCACTTTCACTTTGATGTGAGACTGCAGATGGCTCCTGTTTAGTTTGTGACGATAGAGAATAACGGCGTTTGGAGTTTTGTCGTCTCCCTGATGAGGATGCACTCCCAGGACACACTGTATTTGTGCATTACTGTACAGCCGTCATAATAAAGATCAAACGTATATTTACCTGATGGAAACCTAAGTAATCCTGAATGGTGTGAGAAGAGTAGAAGATGGTCCCGCTGGCAGTGATGACCAGGACGAACCCGTTTAGAGCCTGCAGAAACACACAACAATCACACAACAATCACACACATGATGGACTCAGCACATGATGCATAAAACATCCACAGCCTTAAAGGTGTGAAGGATAATATCTGTCTATCTATCTATCTATCTATCTATCTATCTATCTATGTATCTATGTATCTATCTATCTATCTATCTATCTATCTATCTATTCTTTAGCGCAGTACAATCTATCTCTATGTGGAGTAAATAGACATGAAGCTAAAATGTTTTTTTCTCACTCTGCTGTCATAAGAATGAGTGCAGTGAGTGACCACCTGTTTGAGAAAGTCGCTGTCAGAACACAAACCAGGACAAAGTGAACCTTCGACACACATGGTTCAGATAGTACAAGGTTCAGATGGTACAATAATACTCTCGTCTTTCTTTAAAAATACACCTATTATTGTTGTAACAAAGAGCAACACAACTGCTCCTCTGTGACCCGCAAACACAGACAGTCCCTGCCTTCGCTTAAAAAAACATTTCTATTGTGACTGTGCTCAACAAACCATGATGGGTTTGAATCCAGGTCAGATACTGAGGTCTGTGTCTGCTGCGCTTCATGGTAGAGAAGTGACACACACACACACACACACACACACACACACACACACACACACACACTTACCCTACCCTAACCTTCCCAGCTGTATTGTATTTATTGTATTGTAATCCACACTGTATTCTCACTGTTGTCTGTATTGTGTGTTTTTCCTGTGTGCTTGTCACTTTATGAGTGAGAATAATAAAGATTTTTAAAAAGTTAGGCAACCCAGCTTTATTAAAGGTTTAAAGGGCACCGCTTCCACGTTTTAGTTGTAACACCACTTGACTTCAGGTGTGCGGGGATCAGCTTGAGTTTCACTGAAGGTCAGATGTTTACACGAGTTCCCTAAATAATTCTCAAACAGGAATTAAACTGTGTGGAAGCAATGCATTGTGGGACAAAGCAGTGCTCTTTGATTGTACTATCATTGTACTTTGATAAAGTTAACTTTATCAAAGACATTCATTCCCATACACTTTATAACAACATTACACTACACAGTGTTGCTATGGATAGGTGTACACAGTGTTGCTATGGATACGTACACAGTGTTGCTATAGATACATGTACACAGTGTTGCTATGGATACGTGTACACAGTGTTGCTATGGATACATGTACACAGTGTTGCTATGGATACTGTACATATACACAGTGTTGCTATGGATACGTGTACACAGTGTTGCTATGGATACGCGTACACAGTGTTGCTATGGATACACGTACACAGTGTTGCTATAGATTCATGTACACAGTGTTGCTATGGATACGCGTACACAGTGTTGCTATGGATACGTGTACACAGTGTTGCTATGGATACTGTACGTATACACAGTGTTGCTATGGATATGCGTACACAGTGTTGCTACGGATACACGTACACAGTGTTGCTATAGATTCATGTACACAGTGTTGCTATGGATACACGTACACAGTGTTGCTATGGATACGTGTACACAGTGTTGCTATGGATACGTGTACACAGTGTTGCTATGGATACTGTACGTACAGTGAGGCTACAGATACGTCTACACAGTGTTGCTATGGATACGTGTACGCAATGTTTCTATGGATACGTGTGAAGGTTTACGGCCTCTGTCAGGTTTGGTGAGGAGCAGCTGGTTGTGCCTGAGGGAACATGTGGCTCTTTGGATGACTTCATAAACAAACACACAACATTACACACAACTGCTCACGCCTTCGGCCACAGAGATGACTAACGCTACTTAAAACGCTGATGATTCACCACAATTATATGTCACACTGTAGCGTGCACACCGAGAAATGTTGAACGATCGTAGCAGCGACAACAACAATATTGTGAAGAGCGCTAATGGGACGATACAGATGACTCGTGTCAGGGTCTTTTACACAGAGCTGCTGAGGTTTTATTTCAACAGTGCATATAAGTATACATTATACATGTAAATATGCCAGAATTAGTCTAAGGGGTATTTTTCCATCTGTCCTGGAACTACAGATTATGTGTTTAGGCAAAGACCATTGACTAGAAACATTTGAATATTAATAATATGGTCTTTGTTAACAAAGAAATAAATACAAATTAAAACTTGAGAAAACCAAATGATTTTGACCAAATTCCTGCGGACACGGACAAAAGATGTGATTTAAAGGAAGGGTTTCTCTGATTGATTCATACAAACTGGTAATTCATTTAAAAGGTTAATTTATTTCTGTAATTCAACTTAAAAGGTTAAACTGACATGATGAAAAAAACCTATGCCAGGCCTTTGTTTGATATAATTATTCTTATCATGAAATATTATTAATTTTGCCGAGAATTGATGAAAATACTTGATGAAAAATACATCTTCAAATATATCTAACTTTGTGTGCCCTCGATCCTCTCATGTATTAGGTTCACATTGTAAGTCGAAACACAAAAGTAAACAGACTTTTGGACAGTATTTTAAGTTTCAGAGTTTAGGGTTAGTGTCTGTACAGTTCATGTTAGAGCTGGGTAATAACTCAAGGATGTGAGAAATGCTAAAATGGAGGTCAGGATAGTGTGACAGTTTCTCTGTCGGCTCGTAAGGGCCTCAGCGAGAGCAAACCACAAAGTCCACAACGAAAAGGCTCAGATTATATTTGAGATGTCAGAATCTGTACAATACTTTTATGATTGTTTTGTTTGAAATCCAAAATGAATCTGAAATATGAATATCCCCAGCCCTAGATCCTCTTTAAGTCTGTCATACACATAATGAGCCGTGTGTTGCTCTTATAGATTAAAATGATGTATATTAAATGCATTTGGAATCGAGCCTTGATGTCTGAAACACATATTAAAGGTCCACTCTGGGGCAGGGTAAGCGGGGGGCAGGCTGCTTCCTCTCTCCTGGAATGCCACACTGATGCACATTGGGAGGAACTGGACTGGAAAATCAATGACGCCAACAGATCCCAAAAAGATGTGGCGTTGGAAAAGCCTTTCATTCCTCTTTCAGGACACGGCTGAGAGGTAGGGCACTGGGAAAAAGGCTTTGGACGGCCTTAAAATGTTTATTATGTCTTCAAGGCATAGACATACAGTAACCACATGACCTATAAAACGAGGGGGTATTGTATTAACAAGCGATCGTTTTCTTTCATGACATTAGGAAACACAAAGGCCATAAGGGACAGATACAGGAGCACATGTATGTATTTGTAATGACAGCGTGTGCAGAAATAGGACTGAGCTTATATTTATCTTAAAGTGATTGTTTGGAAAAAAGAGAGAGGTTCATGATTTGAAAAAAACTACCCAAGCTCCGCCCCCTTTCTTTCTGATTGGTCTACGCCTACGTTTCCGTGACAATCAATCAACACATTTAAATGTTAATCAGCGAACACATTATACATACTGTATACATTATTGTCTTCATGACAAAAATAATGTTTTAATGCATGGAAAAAGCGATCGCGGCAAACCCGGAAGTACAGAAGCTAATATCATTATAGGACACATCTGCAGAGGATCTGATTATGGTTCATATATAAATGGTTATGGATATAGGTTCATATATAAATGATTATGGATATAGGTTCATATATAAATGATTATGGATATAGGTTCAGTATATAAATGATTATGGATATAGGTTCAGTATATAAATGATTATGGATATAGGTTCATATATAAATGATTATGGATATAGGTTCATATATAAATGATTATGGATATAGGTTCATATATAAATGATTATGGATATAGGTTCATATATAAATGATTATGGATATAGGTTCAGTATATAAATGATTATGGATATAGGTTCAGTATATAAATGATTATGGATATAGGTTCATATATAAATGATTATGGATATAGGTTCAGTATATAAATGATTATGGATATAGGTTCATATATAAATGATTATGGATATAGGTTCATATATAAATGATTATGGATATAGGTTCATATATAAATGATTATGGATATAGGTTCATATATAAATGATTATGGATATAGGTTCATATATAAATGATTATGGATATAGGTTCATATATAAATTATGACGATGATTGACAGCCCTTGGCATCACCTGATCGGTTAACGTGGACAGCACCGTGGATTCTGAACTATAGCTAAGAGAAGGGAAGGCGGGACTTACCGTAATATTAGAATTAATAAAATGACTTATTTTATATAAACATTTAGGGCCAGGAGGTCAGTTTAATACAATTCTTAACATTTGTAATTCGTTTAGAGTTACAGAATATCACTTTAATCAAATAGCCACAAGACAAGAATATTATTATTTGCTTTGATCTTATAAATGAGTAGATGGGCTTCCTCCGCTCTCTTACAGCCATGTTTTTGCCAGTGTTGGTCGTTCTAAAGCTAAAGTCTCAGCACAAGAGCAAGAACAAACACGAGTCCAGCCACAACACTCCGTCCTCAAACTGAGTCTTCAATGTCGTGCAAAAGCAAATGAAATCCGATTGAAACCCAAATGAATTACAGCTACATAAATATAGATAAATATGGATTATTTTCAGGATGTGAGGGAAATGTAGCCTGGTCTTACCACACTATGGCACTCATTTCATTTGGTACTGAGGTCTGGATCCGAAGCACTCTTTTAAAATATGCACAAACTCACACATTTGTAGATACATAGATCCTTTAACAATGTGTTAGCTACAAAAATGAATCAGTCGTTCGTGGACACAGTATGAAGATGGGACAGTACTGGGGACTGTGTTGATAGTACAGTCTGCATCACCAGAATTATTATTATCTATTTTCAGGAAGAGAACAGAGAAAAGGCGCGGATTAGAGGATATGAAAAATCTACATATCATAGAATTACTACAAGTGCACAGAGAGCACTTTAAATTCTAAAGTGCACTAAGAACAAATCAGGCAAGTTTCTGTATTTAACTTGTTTTCTTTAAAATGTTATCTTTTGCAAACTCGTGAGAAAGAGCCCTGTGAGTCACTATTAGACCCTATAGGCTGGGTCTGATCTGAAGAAAGAAACTGATAGAACCAAACCATTTTGAGAGCGAGAAACTATTAGTGACACAGATTTGATGTGGTTTGAAAGTCAGGCACCCCAGCTTTAACCTTTAATGGTTTCCTTAACCATTTGGTGGATTCTTTTAGTTCTTTATCTATTTCAACTTAAAGCTTGGAACTGGAATTTACCACTTTGGGGAATCTCAACCATTTGGAAAAGGCCTATAGTAAAAAAATAAAATAAAAAAGCATCCTTAAAAATATTCCAAGCTCCATCTAGAAGCAGCAGCAGTTACACTGGACTCCACACAACTCTCTACGAACTGGTGTTATTATGAACTGCTGGTACTGCTGGTACTGGTGGTACTGCTGGTACTGGTGGTACTGGTGTTACTGGTGGTACTGCTGGTACTGGTGGTACTGGTGTTACTGCTGGTACTGGTGTTACTGGTGTTACTGGTGGTACTGCTGGTACTGGTGTTACTGGTGGTACTGCTGGTACTGGTGGTACTGGTGGTACTGCTGGTGCTGCTGGTACTGGTGTTACTGGTGGTACTGGTGGCCCACACACACACTCACCTGCAGCAGGAGTTCTCCCTCTGGGATGTGACCGTCCGCTGCTCCTGCTGCTTTGTCCTCATCCTCTTTTGGGAGCAGACCATTGCGTTTGCTCAGGGCCACTGTAAGGACACAGACAGAGGGGTGAGTGAAGCGGCAGGGGAGGTGGGGGAGGTGGGGGAGGTGGGGGAGGTGCGAGGGGGAGGGGGATTGGGGTGTGGCGGCGCTCTGTCCTGTGATAATGTTTGCAAAGCACTGCTGTGGCTGTCAGGTTTCTTCATGTTTACGCCGCTAACGCCACGTTGCAGCTCATTAAAGATTGAAGATGCACAGCTTGAAGACGTGTCCCAAATCAAAAGACCCTTTGCTTTGAGAATCTGTGAAAAAATGCTTTACTATCGCAAAATATGTACCGTATATTTGCATTGACTTGTTATATACAGCCAACGACAGAGAAATGACTTTAAAAAACTAAAAAACTTGAATCTTGCCAAAATATTGTCTGAATCTACAATATTGTCTGTTATTAATATTCTGGCCATTTACACACATTTTGTCAATACTGCCCTCGATCTAATATTTATTATTATCTATGAATCCTTTCGGTTTCAGTTTAGTTTCTTTCAAAAGGGACAATGCAATTTAATAAAGCACACGATTAAACATGAGTTAAAAAAGCCAGAATTAGCCTCAGAGTCTATTTTTCATCTGTAAATATATCTTTGAATATTCTAATGGCATAGGACAGGTTTCACTCAAGCAGAAAGAGACTTAATGTGCATAATTTAAACAACTCATGAGACGAAAATTCTGGGTCTTATTTCTACAGTCAACAAATGGACTGCACTGGAACTACATAACCATTTATACAACTGTTAGGAGGTTATTTTAAGCCCAAATTTGAAATAAAATAAATAATAACAGTAGATTAGTCAAAAAGGCTGGAGACAGTGAGACTTGATAATCCCAGACTTTTGGGTTAATCTGTTTTATCCTCATACGGTGACTGTTCTTTAGTTTATCTCCGCTGCTGAGTTCATAAACAAACCTACTGCAAAGGAGAGCAAAATGGCCGACTGTAATGTTAGTGCGGAATCGAAGCACTGAGTATTTGTGTTTTTGTGTTTTACCTTCACCAGAAAAACTTGTGTGTCTTTTGAAAGTACAGAAAAAAAAAAGTTTCTCTATTTCTGCAATTAAATTAAAAATGTGGAGCCAACTCATGACATAGACTCATGTTGTGCAAAGCTAAGACAAGATAACATCATTAATCTCATAAGTATCAATACATTACACCTGAATTTCTCCTACAGCAGATAAATAAAGTATCTGTGTCTTTATGAAACAAAAAAAGGCTCGGTACATCTCACAGTTCTCTCTATTCTCATTTCCAAATCCAAACCTGAAGGACTAAACTGCATCCGTGGGTTATTTTCAGTTATTACACGGTTTGTTGTTATGCTTTTGTGTTAGAGAGGGTCTGTCTGGGTCCAGGGGCTGTGCCTTGTGCCTCGTCCACCATTTTGTGCCGGGGTCAGATGTGGGCGGAGCCAACACATGTTAAAAGGATCCCAGGTGGAGTCCGACAGGAGGACCAGACCGAAGACCGGGACCAAAGACCGGGACCAAAGACCGGACCAAAGACCGGACCAAAGACCGGGACCAAAGACCAGACCAAAGACCGGACCAAAGACCACGTCCAAATGTAGTCCGAGCGTAGATAGTCCGAGCGTAGATAGTCCGAGCGTAGATAGTCCGAGCGTAGATAGTCCGAGCGTAGATTGTCCGAGCGTAGATAGTCCGAGCCTAGATAGTCCGAGCGTAGATAGTCCGAGCGTAGATAGTCCGAGCACAGATGGTCCGAGCGTAGATAGTCCGAGCGTAGACAGTCCGAGCGTAGATAGTCCAAGCACAGATAGTCCGAGCACAGATGGTCCGAGCGTAGATAGTCCGAGCACAGATAGTCCAAGCGTAGATAGTCCGAGCCTAGATAGTCCGAGCGTAGATAGTCCGAGCGTAGATAGTCCGAGCACAGATGGTCCGAGCGTAGATAGTCCGAGCACAGATAGTCCAAGCGTAGATAGTCCGAGCCTAGATAGTCCGAGCGTAGATAGTCCGAGCGTAGATGGTCCGAGCGTAGATAGTCCGAGCGTAGATAGTCCGAGCGTAGATAGTCCGAGCCTAGATAGTCCGAGCGTAGATGGTCCGAGCGTAGATAGTCCGAGCGTAGATAGTCCGAGCGTAGATAGTCCGAGCACAGATGGTCAGAGCGCAGATAGTCCGAGCGTAGATAGTCCAAGCACAGATAGTCCGAGCGTAGATAGTCCGAGCGTAGATAGTCCGAGCGTAGATAGTCAGAGCGTAGATAGTCCGAGCGTAGACAGTCTGAGCGTAGATAGTCCGAGCCTAGATAGTCCGAGCGTAGACAGTCCGAGCGTAGATAGTCCGAGCGTAGATAGTCCGAGCGTAGATAGTCCGAGCGTAGATAGTCCGAGCGTAGATAGTCCGAGCAGAGATAGTCCGAGCGTAGATAGTCCGAGCGTCGATAGTCCGAGCGCAGATAGTCCGAGCGCAGATAGTCCGAGCGTAGATAGTCCGAGCGCAGATAGTCCGAACGTAGATAGTCCGAACGTAGATAGTCCGAGCGTAGATAGTCCGAGCGTAGATAGTCAGAGCGTAGATAGTCCGAGCGTAGATAGTCCGAGCGTAGATAGTCCGAGCGTAGATAGTCCGAGCGGTAGATAGTCCGAGCGTAGACAGTCTGAGCGTAGATAGTCCGAGCGTAGATAGTCCGAGCGTAGACAGTCCGAGCGTAGATAGTCCGAGCGTAGATAGTCCGAGCGTAGATAGTCCGAGCGTAGATAGTCCGAGCAGAGATAGTCCGAGCGTAGATAGTCCGAGCGTCGATAGTCCGAGCGCAGATAGTCCGAGCGCAGATAGTCCGAGCGTAGATAGTCCGAGCGCAGATAGTCCGAGCGTAGATAGTCCGAGCGTAGATAGTCCGAGCGTAGATAGTCCGAGCGTAGATAGTCAGAGCGTAGATAGTCCGAGCGTAGATAGTCCGAGCGTAGATAGTCCGAGCGTAGATAGTCTGAGCGTAGATAGTCCGAGCGTAGATAGTCCGAGCGTAGATAGTCCGAGCGTAGATAGTCCGAGCGTAGATAGTCCGAGCGTAGATAGTCCGAACGTAGATAGTCCGAGCGTAGATAGTCCGAGCGTAGATAGTCCGAGCGTAGATAGTCGGAGCGTAGATAGTCCGAGCGTAGATAGTCCGAGTGTAGATAGTCCGAGCGTAGATAGTCCAAGCGTAGATAGTCCGAGCGTAGATAGTCCGAGCGTAGATAGTCCGAGCGTAGATAGTCCGAGCGTAGATAGTCCGAGGCGGTCCCGCAGGTCTCTCCCTCAGACCAGTCTCTCCAGAGGATACGATGTAAGCTAGCTCTGTTCAGGGCTTGGTTTCTTCTTTGATCATGTTTTGCTTTAGTTCCTCTTCTCTTCCTCACTGTTGTGTGGTTTGGGCTGTTTTGCTGTGTCTGCAGTTACAGCCAGAGGAGTTATAGCCACTTATGCTAACATGCTACTGTGTTTAGCTGTAGAGGCTAGAGGACGCAGCCTCGCTCTGTGATTGGAGGAGAGCGGGCGTCACGCTAAGTCTCTACTCAGCACTTTTTACTGAGTTCATCCACAGCTGAATCAATGAGCTCAAGTTTTACATTAAATTACATATTTTAATACAACTTGTCTGTAGTAATAAGCATTTTTATGAACTAATTAGAAATAAAGGGTATAGCTTCTTTAAATAAACCCCTTTAATGAGCAGGGCCTGTAGTTAGGAACGGAGTGATGTCCATAGATTCCAAGGCGGTGCTAGCATAACCTCATACACCTTTATAATTGCAGACAAAGAGATGTCCTGAGAAAGAGAGCCGTGGTCAGGACTCTCTGACCACGGTGCACTGACCCGGAGCGGCCTCAGCTCAGAGGTGATGTGTGACATGATTTGGGGGTTAGATTCTAGGTCAGATGTTTTGTTGTCTTCTTACACGGGTTAACAAGGCCTCCGCCCCAAAGACGGGGTCAGGCGCGCCGGCAGTCAGCGCAGACATATGGGCCTTGGATCTTCACACGAGATACGGATCTGGGCGAGAACCTGTGACCCTGTTCCCAAGACAGTTTCACCAAAAACAAAAGATGACACCAGAGTAGATTTAAGAAGGTGTTAATATCATCGGGTCAATCAATAAATGTGGGAATTCAGGTCATTTCACTGTTTCTGTGTCTGAGGTGGTAATAAGTTAGGCTCTTATTTTATATTTTTATATTTGTTTATTTCGAGACAGTGTGTGAGCATAGAAATAATGGAGAGTGTTCTGTACAAATATGTCCAATATTTGTACAGAACAAAAACAATGTTTATTGATGGTGTTAGTTTAGGCTGATACAAACTGTGGAAAAGAAAAACTATTTGATCAATATAAAAATGTGAATAACTATTGTTCATATGGAAAGTGTTTTGCAAAAGAGCACAATGTCAGGTTTATTGGACTGGGGTCAGAACAGGGACAGTGTGCGGCAGGTTTTAGAACGAATCCCACAAATGTGTATTTCTCACAAACAAGGCTTTAACTCGTCCAAAAGCAGATTTACAGGATTATTATAAACCAAAGGTTTTATTAGACTCCAATAGTTGCTTTTGTGCTTTTTCAGTTTTATTCAGTACAGAGCAAAAGTCTGGACACCCTCTCTCCTTCACTGAGGTCTTTTCATGACTATTGCTGTAGACCCGCACCAGGCTGTGTCAGGGCTGGACCTGAACCCAGTCCAGATGGTTTTGGACCTGAACCCAGTCCAGATGGTTTATAAAATCAAACGTTTATATAAAAGTTATGTTTTTGGTCTACTCTCCTTCAATGGAAACAGAAGAATAATTGTACAAATATAAAATTATTAAACTAATAAATATACAAAACTATTTATAAAGGCAAGGATTTGATATAGAAATATAAATATAGTGTAAAAATCACTGGTTCACATCCCACTTGTCCTTCGGTTAGAAGGACAAGTGGGATGTGAACCACTTGTTCTTCAGTTCATCACGGGTTCATATCCAGTATATTCAGAGGAAATGTCTTCTGTTTTTGAAAGACCTGCTGCAAACATGTGACGTAGACCTCAATGATCATTTACAACAGCAGCAGTACTGTGCATACACAGCCTTTAGTGATGCAGAGGGTGTAGAACACAAGCTGCTGCTGCAGTCAGAGGTTCTACACCTGAGCTTAAAGTGAGACTTAACTCTGGGTTAACTCTGAGTTAACTCTGGGTCAACTCTGAGTTAACTCTGGGTTAACTCTGGGTTAACTCTGAGTTAACTCTGGGTTAACTCTGGATTAACTCTGGGTTAACTCTGGGTTAACTCTGGGTTAACTCTGGATTAACTCTGGGTTAACTCTGGGTTAACGCTGAGTTAACTCTGGGTTAACTCTGGGTTAACTCTGGGTTGTTTTCAGGCTTCTGTGAGTGCCAGAGTTCATAATGAAACATTTACATTCCCACAGCCTTCATAGAGCGCTGACAATTACCCAGAGGCACCCTCAGACGGGAGCCGAGCCGTGCCAGCCCAAACACACTGTTTATACGAGCGCCACACACTTGGACAGGTTTGTCAAGCACAATACAGCTGTCGGACCTGATCTCACACTAACCACAGTTTTATTGGTAACACAATTATTATGAAAACACCACAACTCAAGTAGAGTATATCACAAAAGCACTGCTCTTCACTGAGTGTGTCTCACAGAAACACACTGTGTGTAAAACTTATACGCCTCATTTAGTTTGTATAAAACATTAGTTTATCAGTCACACTTTCAGCAGAGGAAAGAGCGGAGCCAAAGAACATTTCCTGTTCATAATATCTACAATAAAGACGGGTCAGGTTCAGTAAAAACATGTTTCACTCAGTCTTTAAAGAATGCTCTGAAGCTCCTGAAACACTATAAATGTGTGATATTAATAATAATAATAATAAATGTGTGATATTGTGGAGAGGAGAGACAGACGAGCTCCACCTGCTCTGGGCCAGGACAGTCTCAGGACAGTCTCAGGACAGTCTCAGGACAGGACAGTCTCAGGACAGTCTCAGGACAGTCTCAGGACAGTCTCAGGAGAGTCTCAGGACAGTCTCAGGACAGGACAGTCTCAGGACAGGACAGTCTCAGGACAGTCTCAGGAGAGTCTCAGGACAGTCTCAGGACAGGACAGTCTCAGGACAGGACAGTCTCAGGACAGTCTCAGGATAGTCTCAGGACAGGACAGTCTCAGGACAGTCTCAGGACAGGACAGTCTCAGGACAGTCTCAGGATAGTCTCAGGACAGGACAGTCTCAGGACAGTCTCAGGACAGGACAGTCTCAGGACAGTCTCAGAGACAATAATACGAGAAAAATATACAAAATAAAACGACTTCCACGAAGAAAACATCAGACTCATTTATAAAAGGATTGACAACAGTATGTTCATGGACAGTATGACCATATGAAGGTATGGGGGGGGGGGATCAGAGCTGGACTCAGACCAAGAGGCCGGTTTGGCTCTGGTCCCAGACTTCATTAGTTAAAGGGGAGTTACAGCGCTCCACAGGGAGACATGTATTAGACAATACTGAGGGAAACCCATATTCAGTATTTGATTTTCCAGAATTAAATTAGTATTTGTATTGCAGACGACAGTCTCAGCAGGAGGCCAGTCCCTGTGCTCCTCAGAGTCCCAGCAGGAGTCCAGTCCCTGTGCTCCTCAGAGTCCCAGCAGGAGTCCAGTCCCTGTGCTCCTCAGAGTCCCAGCAGGAGTCCAGTCCCTGTGCTCCTCAGAGTCCCAGCAGGAGTCCAGTCCCTGTGCTCCTCAGAGTCCCAGCAGGAGTCCAGTCCCTGTGCTCCTCAGAGTCCCAGCAGGAGACCAGTCCCTGTGCTCCTCAGAGTCCCAGCAGGAGTCCAGTCCCTGTGCTCCTCAGAGTCCCAGCAGGAGTCCAGTCCCTGTGCTCCTCAGAGTCCCAGCAGGAGTCCAGTCCCTGTGCTCCTCAGAGTCCCAGCAGGAGTCCAGTCCCTGTGCTCCTCAGAGTCCCAGCAGGAGACCAGTCCCTGTGCTCCTCAGAGTCCCAGCAGGAGGCCAGTCCCTGTGCTCCTCAGAGTCCCAGCAGGAGTCCAGTCCCTGTGCTCCTCAGAGTCCCAGCAGGAGGCCAGTCCCTGTGCTCCTCAGAGTCCCAGCTGTACTTTGGTACAAGGCCATGGAGAGACTTGTCGCAGAGATGATAAATGGTACTACACAGTCGTATAGTTGGACAATATTCAATTCAAAATAATTATTTCCTGGTTTTGATTTATTAACAATGTATTTTATTTAAATATAATAATAATAATAGAAAAAGTGACACTTTGGTCCAGTCTGAGAGAACTCTGCGGCTGTTGGTTTGAGCAACAAGCTGCATTCAAAGGATTTGACAGTTTTCTTGTTATTGTGGAATGATGTCACATGTATTTAGTTGTATCGCTGATCCCAACAACTGCTAAAGAAAGTATTTGTGTATCACACAAACAAAGGCCACAGCAGCATACACATTGTGTGTTAATCATTCCATCTTTGTGTGAATGGCAGCAGTAAATATAGAACATTTCAACTCCTTCACCCTGAACCACTGCAGTGAAAGAACACGCGATGAGTACACACAACCCCCACATCCCAACACACACATGACTGCACGCAACGCACACACAGCCTATAAGCAACACACACATGACTGCACGCAACGCACACACAGCCTATAAGCAACACACACACAGCCTATAAGCAACACACACACAGCCTATATAAGCAACACACACACACAGCCTATAAGCAACACACACACAGCATATAAGCAAGACAACTAATGCAGGGCCCAGCCTGCTTCTCCATCACATGGTGTTGTGTAGTGTTGTGTGGTGCAGTGTGGTGTTGTGTAGTGTTGTGTTGTGTGGTGTTGTGTGGTGCAGTGTGGTGCTGTGTGGTGCTGTGTAGTGTTGTGTGGTGTTGTGTGGTGCAGTGTGGTGCAGTGTGGTGCAGTGTGGTGCTGTGTGGTGCTGTGTGGTGTTGTGTGGTGTAGTGTGGTGCTGTGTGTTGCAGTGTGGTGTTGTGTGGTGTTGTGTGTTGCAGTGTGGTGCTGTGTGTTGCTGTGTGGTGTTGTGTGGTGTTGTGTGTTGCAGTGTGGTGCTGTGTGTTGCAGGGGGAGGGGGATAAGCCCTGAGCAGAGGATGGGGCAGGAGGGAGGAGGGAGGAGTCAGAGGGAGGAGCCACAGTCAGAGGGAGGAGTCACAGTCAGAGGGAGAAGCCAGAGTCAGAGGGAGGAGCCACAGTCAGAGGGAGGAGCCACAGTCAGAGGGAGGAGCCACAGTCAGAGGGAGGAGTCACAATCAGAGGGAGGAGCCACAGTCAGAGGGAGGAGCCACAGTCAGAGGGAGGAGCCACAGTCAGAGGGAGGAGTCACAGTCAGAGGGAGGAGCCACAGTCAGAGGGAGGAGTCACAGTCAGAGGGAGGAGCCACAATCAGAGGGAGGAGTCACAATCAGAGGGAGGAGCCACCGTCAGAGGGAGGAGCCACAGTCGGAGGGAGGAGTCACAATCAGAGGGAGGAGCCACCGTCAGAGGGAGGAGCCACAGTCGGAGGGAGGAGCCACAGTCGGAGGATGACGCTGATGATGATGAAGCACAGATAGTGACCGACAGGAAGCAGTTTGTGACGTGTCATTTACAACTGTTCTTATGCAACAATCACACTAGATATTCTCCGTCTGCACATAACTCATGGATGTAATCTATTTTACTTTGTAGTGTGTAGTGAGTATCGATTATGGCCATATCTGACAATACTGAATCATATTAAAGTAGTACATAGTAAAGGAGAATGTGTCTGTTTTATAATTCACATTGATGTAATAATCCTGATAATAATAGTTAGTAAGTTGTTGTTTTTGCTTACAAGTCTAATTTAGTTTAATGTATTTGTTATTGAATCAGAACAATAGATATGAAGTTACATCTTGGCAAACAGCACCAACATAAACATGAATTAGTAGAAAAGGTAAATAATGTGTCCATGTTTTTAGTCCTGTTTGTTTGTACCCACAGTCTCTGGATCCTGATCTGTTAAAAACACTTTGCCTTTGCTGTGATTGATTAAACATAAATATAAGTGCACAGAGGTTTCTATCTGAGACGTATCGCGACCGTTATGCAACTGCAGTCACGGGTTCAACTCTAAGCTTCACCACCGTCACACCATAAACACACATGGATCATTACAAGGTCAAAATAGTCTAATACCAATAAAAGCAGTGAAAGTGTGTGCAGTAACGAGCACAGCGTGAGATAGGAAGAAAAGATACATATATTTTAGGTTTAAATTTGATAATTGTAAGAACAACAAACCCAGCTTACATCCTGCAGGATTACCAGTAAGCAGCAGTAAAGGTACAGACACTGTCTAGCACTATCTTACCACTGTTCTGATAAAAGGCTAAAGACCCCTAAAGACCCCCGTTGGCCACACTTTATTTCCTCAAGCGCTCGATGGCACTTTAATAACTCTCCCATTAGTCACCAGGCTTAACCACGGCTAAGGACCCCCGGGAGACCCACAGATCTATACAGCACTTGACATTGTGCTGGTCCCACGTGCCGCGTGTGGAGACAGACCACAGCTGTGAAGGAGGTTGTCGGGTCGAGTCTCACAGCCAAAGTGGGACGTCCTCTGCTCAGATCCTCTGTTGTAACTCACTCACAGCCGACAGAGATAATACTGTCATGAGGATTAAACAGGCTTTGTCCAAAATCACCACATGTTTCTAAATAGAACCTTGCTCCAATAGTTTCAGTGTGAGATGTGTCTCTGAAAGGCACAAGCAAACACTGTGAATAATGGATGAGGATGCATCAGCCTCAAAACAGAGCAGCATCCATTCTGTGAAGAGGAAACCTCAGCCTCATCATACAGCCCCCACAGCCCCCACAGCCCCCGCCCCAGCTGACTGTAACAAGCTGGATTTGCTCTGTTTACACACAACAAATGTTGGTCCCAGAAGAGGCCTGCAGCTCTGGGCTCGAGGCCCAGAGCCTTCTCTACAAACCTGATCCTTAAAGCAGCCGCTGAGCTCGTTACTGACTTAGAGAGTGTCCAGGAAAGACAAAAACATTTACACTTTCATGATTAATCATCTTCCACAAACAAACTAGTCATGGTAAATGTCCAGGTCCAATGAGAATAAGAGACCTACGACCAATCACTGACATGACCAGTCTGTCTCTCACATGTATCACTGACATGACCAGTCTGTCTCTCACATGTATCACTGACATGACCAGTCTGTCTCTCACATGTATCACTGACATGACCAGTCTGTCTCTCACATGTATCACTGACATGACCAGTCTGTCTCTCACATGTATCACTGACATGACCAGTCTGTCTCTCACATGTATCACTGACATGACCAGTCTGTCTCTCACATGTATCACTGACATGACCAGTCTGTCTCTCACATGTATCACTGACATGACCAGTCTGTCTCTCACATGTATCACTGACATGACCAGTCTGTCTCTCACATGTATCACTGACATGACCAGTCTGTCTCTCACATGTATCACTGACATGACCAGTCTGTCTCTCACATGTATGACTGACATGACCAGTTTGTCTCTCAGATTGTATCACTGACATGACCAGTCTGTCTCTCACATGTATCACTGACATGACCAGTCTGTCTCTCACATGTATCACTGACATGACCAGTCTGTCTCTCACATGTATCACTGACATGACCAGTCTGTCTCTCACATGTATCACTGAGATGACCAGTCTGTCTCTCACATGTATCACTGACATGACCAGTCTGTCTCTCACATGTATCACTGACATGACCAGTCTGTCTCTCACATGTATCACTGACATGACCAGTCTGTCTCTCACATGTATCACTGACAAGACCAGTCTGTCTCTCACATGTATCACTGACATGACCAGTCTGTCTCTCACATGTATCACTGACATGACCAGTCTGTCTCTCACATGTATCACTGACATGACCAGTCTGTCTCTCACATGTATGACTGACATGACCAGTCTGTCTCTCAGATTGTATCACTGACATGACCAGTCTGTCTCTCACATGTATCACTGACATGACCAGTCTGTCTCTCACATGTATCACTGACATGACCAGTCTGTCTCTCACATGTATCACTGACATGACCAGTCTGTCTCTCACATGTATCACTGACATGACCAGTCTGTCTCTCACATGTATCACTGACATGACCAGTCTGTCTCTCACATGTATCACTGACAAGACCAGTCTGTCTCTCACATGTATCACTGACATGACCAGTCTGTCTCTCACATGTATCACTGACATGACCAGTCTGTCTCTCACATGTATCACTGACATGACCAGTCTGTCTCTCACATGTATCACTTACATGACCAGTCTGTCTCTCACATGTATCACTGACATGACCAGTCTGTCTCTCACATGTATCACTGACATGACCAGTCTGTCTCTCACATGTATCACTGACATGACCAGTCTGTCTCTCACATGTATCACTGACATGACCAGTCTGTCTCTCACATGTATGACTGACATGA